TTGCTGCTTCCCCTCTGTATAACTTCTGGGTTCATCCAAGTTATTGACTGTGTCAGTAGTTTGTCTTATTGCTGCACAGTGTTCCATTGTCTGGACGTTTGACGGGTGTTTTTCACCCTTTCCCTCACTCAAGGACGATCAGGATGTTTCTACTTATTGGCAATTACAAACAGAACTGTGTACAGGTGCAGAGGTTTTTGCATTTCTCCGGGCGACATACCTGAGTGGGATGGCTGGGTCATAGGGTGGGTATACGTTGAACTTGTGAGGAGCTGCCCCCTGTTTTCTGGAATAAGACCTGTCCATGTCGCATTCCCAGGGTCAACCTGTGGGTTCCAGCTGCTCCCCATCCTACCACCTGACGTCCTTATTTTTTATCTGGGCCCTTCTCACAGGGCGAAGTGGTGTCTGTACATGGTTTTAGCTTGTGTTTCCCTGGTGACTGTGATGCCCTTCTCTTCATGCTGTTTGACATCTGTGTGTCCTCTTGGACGAAGTGTCTGTTGAAGTGCTTTGCCCACCATTTAATTGGGTTTTGCTTTCATATTGTTGAGTTTTGAGAGTTCTTTACAGATGCTGGAGACAAGTCCTTTGTCATATGTTATTGGCAAATATTTTTTGTTTGCTTGCATCTTGTCTTTCATTCTCTTAACAGTGTCGTTTGCAAAGACTTCATTTTGATGAAGCCCAATTTATTAAATTGTTTTCATGAATGTGCTTTTACTGTCATTTCTAAGAACTCTAACCCCCAAGCCACAAGAATTTCTCCTGTGTGTTCTCCTAAAAGTTTTACATTTTATATTAGATCCATTTTGAGTTAATTTTTGTGTAAGGTGAGGGTTTATGTCAGGTTCTTTTATTTTTATTTTTGGCATATTGGTATCCTGTTGTCACAACACCATTTGTTGAGACCATTTATTGAGAATCAGCTTGCCTCTCAATCCCCAGTTTTTAGGATATTTTATACATGTTTTGTTAGATTTATAGCTAAGTATTTCACTTGAGGAGTTATTGTAGATGGTAGTGGTATATATTTATTGATTTCAGAGAGGAAGGGAGCAGGAGAGCAAGATAGAAACCTCAATGATGAGAGAGAATCATTGATCAGCTGCCTCCTGCACGCCCCACACTGAGGATTGAGCCTGCAACCCAGGCATGTGCCCTGGCATGTGCCCTGCTGGGAACTGAACCGTGACTTCGTGGTTCATAGCGCCACGCTCAACCACTGGGCCACAGGTGTGTTTTCAATGTCAGTTTCCAGTTGCTCACTGGCACATATTAATTCTGTGTATTGATCTCATATCCTGCATCTTTGCTAAACTCTCTTAGTTCGAGGAATTTCTTTGAGGTTGGCTTCACGTGCACTTGGAAGGGATCTGCATTCTGCCGTTGGGTGGAGAGATCCATGATTACCCTTCAGTCTGCTGGGCTGAGGACGTTGTCAGGTTTCCTCCATCTGCTATGATTTTCTCTCAACACTGTCACTGTTCGGGATCAGAACCAACCTGTGCAGCCCCCAGGCCAGCCAGCACTCAGCAGCAATTTTTAAGGAGTCACTCCTGAGGTCCACCCACCTCTGTGGTCTCCCAGTGATTTCCAATTCCCTGGACTCCCCATTTTCATCCCTTTGGCCAGAAACCTGGGCTGTAGTTACCTGTTCTGCCGTGCACTTCCCGTGGCTGCCCTCATGTCTGGGGTCAAACGCCCAGAGGACTGGGAGGGAGGAGGCAGGAGGGTGAGACCACAGCTCCTCCTGCTGGGCAAGTTCTGCTGCCCCAGGATGCTGTCTGCAGGCCCTGCTGATCCATCACTTCCATTGTTGCTGCCAAGCCTTCCTCACCTTGGAATTTCCTGGACCTGAGAGACTGGAGAAAAGAAAAACAAGTGATTTCCCTCATCTCTGAGCACTGGAGTCTCCTCTCTCCCTAGACTCAGAGGACTTCTTGGCGCTCTCTTCAGCCATGTTCCCGCTTGTGGGTTGCCTTGAGTCTGAACTGGAGAGACCAGAGTAAAGCCAGAAAATGTGGCTCCGGCGGGTGGTTCAGTTGGTTGGAACATCGCCCTGCACATCTAAAGGTAGTGGGTTCGATTCCCGGTCAGGGCACAGATGGGAGGCAACCGATCGAAATTTCTCGTTCACATCGATGTTTCTCTCAAAAAAAAAAAAAAATTAGCTCCATTCACAGTCATTGGAATTCTGACCTTCAATGACCTGCTTTCCGGGTCCTCAGTCCACTACACCCTGGGCTGAGACAGGGTGGCCGTCCTCCCTCTGTTTATCTGGAACTGGAACCCTCTGTTCTACTTCAAGCTGTAATCATTATGAAGCCCTTAAAAATGTTGTGAAAAATACAAAATAGTTGCTCTTAAAAGGTGTCGGGTATACAAGAAATATGGCGGCATGCACGGCCAGCTGGGAGAACGAACAGCTCTAGCCAAGAGTCTCAAGAGTGAGCTGTATAAACCAAAACTCTTTAAAAACAAACACCTTTTGCCCTGGCCGGTTGCCCAGTGGTTAGTGTTGACCCTCAGACTGAAGGGTCACAGGCTCTATTCCCAGTCAAGAGCATATACCTCAGCTGCAGGTTCAATTCCCAGACCCGATGGGCACAAGCAAGAGGCAGCCAATGCAGGTGCCTGTCTCACGTCGAGATTTCTCTCTCCCCCTCCTCCTCCTTCCTCCACTCTCTAAAAAAAAAAAAAAAAAAAAAAGTTCAACAGGGAAAATATCCTGGGGTGCGGATTAAACAGCACCTTTCTCATTCCTCATTTGGGTTTCATACTCGAAGTAACCCGAGACTTGGAAACTAAACGGCTGGCACAGCGAGCGTGAGGACTCACAGCGGACCATGGGCCTCTGGAGCCGTGGGTTCACGGAACGCTGTGGGCCCTCGTGCTGCCCGATGCCTCCGAGATGGCACCAGCTCAACACCGTGTTCAGCAGGCGTCGCGTGCTGCTGTCTCTGTAAGCAAAGCTCAGTTTTGTGCGGTTCACGATGGTCCTCGTCGCCATGGCCTCCCGAGCGGGTGCTGGCGGGCGGGAAGCAGCGCCAGTTCTCTCGTGGACATGGATCTGGGGGCGGGTTCCTGGCCGAGGAGACAGAGGAGCAGAGCCATGTGTTTCTCAAGGACAGCTCCCTGTGCCTCCAGAGGGCTTGCCAACTATTGCTGTTGTTTCTGCGAGGTGGGGCCGTGCCCTCGTTTCAGAAGCCAGGAAACCGAAACGCGTGCTCACAGAACACGTGAAGGACGGGCTGAGGGACCCCTCACCGCGAGGTCCCGACAGGGTCTCCCAGGAGCTTAGAGCCCGGAGCTTCGATGACTCTCTGGTCCAAACACAGAAGCATTTCTCCTGTTCCTGAGGCATAGCTCATGTGTCACAAAGTCTGCCCGTGGATAAGTTGTGGCAATTGCTGCAGCCGTGTAACCATCCCCAGAAACAAGTCATAACCTGGAGTCCCCTCCGCCACCCCAGGGCGCCCCCATCTGCTTCAGGGTCTCTGCTTCCATAGACCATCCCGCAGGCCTTGGCACAGTCTGCTCCTGGACCCGGTGCTCCCAGCCACTCATCCGCATGTCCCTTCCCCTCAGACCACGTCAGGTGACTCTCCTTGTGCCCCCACCCCCACCCCAGCTCCTGTCACAGGAAATCCCGGTGCCTGTGACGAGCGTGTGTCCAGCTCACTCCCTGTTAAACCTGAAGTCACCTTCATGGTCAAATCTGATCTTCAAGGACATTTTTTCAGTGCGGAGGCCCGGAGAATTGATTGACCAGCAGAAGGCACGTCAGATCAACGCACAAACGGGTCTGGAATAAACATCTGGCTTCAAGCCCCTCCCCTTCTACCTGCCCCACAGCCCAGTGTCTGAGAGAGAGCTGTGTCCAGACCTTCATGCTGAGCTCCGGCCTCAGTGCCTAGGTGCTTCCAAAGCCTTGCCCTGGGATCAGCACCAGGCACCTCAACCTGTCCGGTCCTGCTCGAGCCACTCGCTCCCCACAGGCCTGCTCCCCATGGACCTGCTCCCCACGGGCCTGCTCCCCACGGACCTGCTCCCCATGGACCTGCTCCCCACGGGCCTGCTCCCCACGGGCCTGCTCCCCATGGACCTACTCCCCACGGGCCTGCTCCCCACGGGCCTGCTCCCCATGGACCTACTCCCCATGGGCCTGCTCCCCATGGACCTGCTCCCCACGGGCCTGCTCCCTACGGACCTGCTCCCCACGGACCTGCTCCCCACGGACCTGCTCCCCACGGGCCTGCTCTGCTGTTTCCCTTCTGTGCACAGGCACAGCCGCTGGAGGCTCCCCTAATGCCGTCACCTTCACTCACCACCTGAGTTGACACCCCCAGAATATTGTGAACCCGTCCACTGTGCCTTATCCTCGCCGCTCCCAGCTGGGCACTGCCTCTCCCTGGACAGTAGCCTCTAACCCTTTCCCTCACCCCCCAGGTCTGGGCGTTGGGCAGTTTCTTCATGGAGAACTGAGCACTCTGAGTGTCTGACATGAGCCATTCCACACACGCACACGCATGCACCCCAAAGTGCTTGCTCTGCTGCGTCAGGCGCTGGGACTGTTTTCTGGGCAAACCCTGAGTAAAGAGCTAGAACTCATTCCCAAGTCTGCAGTCTGCCTCCTGCTGGCGACGGCTGCGGGACCCACGCAAGCGCTGTGACCTTCAGACGCCCCTGGAAATGGGACGGTGTGTCCACTCGGGGGTGTTGTGAGGAGTAGATGCACACACGCCTGCACACTGCTGTCCATGAAGAGCTGAGAAGCCATGCTTCTGTGAGGAGGAGGAGGAGGAAGGGCAGAGGTATGAGCCGGGTGCCTGGACCTGCCAGGCCTGCAGGGAGCTTCTGCTTTCACACCTGTGACTGCTGTCATTCCTGATGCTGAGGGTCTGTACAGGCCAGGGTCTCCCTCAGGTGAACGATGTCAGCACCTCAGGAGGCCCAGGGAGCGTGTTCTACGAGGGTCCGGCTGATCTTTCCTCTTTCAGGGGATGAACAATCAGTATGTCCGCCGGGAGGTCTTCTGCCGGAACACCTGTCACGAGCTCAAACACTTCTGGGAAAGGGAGATCGGCAAACAGACCTTCTACCGAGAGTCGGAGGAGCGGCGCCTGGGGAGAAGTGCACTGAGAAAGTATGTATTTTTTAAAAATAGACTATTTTTTAGAGCAAATTCACAGCAAAATGAGCAGGAAGTAGAGTTCCGACGTACCCTCCCCCCAGGCACAACCTCCCCACTGTCAGAAGCCTACAACAACATACATTGACACAGCTTTAGCATCCTTGTGTGTCTATTTCTTTATGCAAAATTGACTTTCCCAGAAGAATTCAAGATGGGCATCTCAGAGGATGAAATTATTTTAATTTTCCATGCATACGTTGCTGCCACCACCTATAGTTTTACAATTCTTATACATCAACAAATGTAGCCCTAACTGGTTTGGCTCAGTGAACAGAGCATCGGCCTACGGACTGAAGGGTCCCAGGTTCGATTCCGGTCAGGGGCATGTACCTTGGTTGTGGGCACATCCCCAGTAGGGGGTGTGCAGGAGGCAGCTGATTGATGTTTCTCTCTCATCGATGTTTCTAATTCTCTATCCCTCTCCCTTCCTCTCTGTAAAAAATCAGTAAAAATATATTTAAAAAACAAACAAACAAACAAAAAACACATGTATACTGTTTTATCTCTCCTTCTGTCACTGGTTCTAGTGCATGAGGGTTACACTAAATTTGGGGAGCATGTATTTGGATACTGCTTTTTTATCCCAGGTGACGAGATCTGCACTGTAATTGGATTGTAATTGTGTTATTTTGGTAGTTGCTTTAGGATTTACATGTCCACCCTGAACTTATCACACACCTTCAAGGGTGCATCATCTCCTTTAGCGTGTAAAAGCCTTACAGCGAGATGGTGCCATTTCCCCTTCCTGGCTGTCGCGCTGTTTGTACAAAAGTACATTTTTACTTCCATGTGTTATAAACCCCATGTCACATAATGAACAGCGTTGCTTTCAACCACTGATTATCTTTTAAAGAGGTTCAAATAGCAAGAAAAAGTTATGAATGTGCATCCACACAGCTGCCTTTCCAGGTGCTTATTCCATCGTGACCCCGACTTCCTTCTGCTTGAAGGAATGGCCGTTAGCATGTGCCAAGGGTCCGCCAGGAAGGACCCTCCGTTTCTGCACATCTTAAAGCCTCTGTATGTGAATGCCAGCCTTGCTGGGTAAACAATTCTAGATTGACAGGGTCCCCGCCCCCCCCCCCCAACACTTTAAAGATATTGCACTTTCAAAGGAAAGTTCAGAGGATTGAGATTAGGGTACATTGAACAGAAGTGAGAGTTAAAACATGTGCATATTTAAATTTGCAAGTCCTCTGCACACCTTTTACAACCTGAAACACACACACACACACACACACACACACACACACACACACACGGTCAGGGGGAAAAAGGAAGAAAGCTTTACCTGAACCAACAGCCCAGGATGAGTGTCCCTCTGTGTATTCTGTTTCTATGTTCAGGCTCAGAGAAGAATGGAAGCAGAGACTGGAAACCAAGCTGAGGCTGAGGAACAATCCAGATGAGACTGAAAAGCAGGCAAATGTTGGCCAAGAGCTTCTGGCTTCCTTGACGCAAGAGGACACGGAGCACTGAGGCCGCTCTGCTGGGAGAGTCGTGCCCGTGGCTGAGTCCCTTCGCTATGCCCACCAGATCTCACCCCACTGTCACCCCGAACCTGTGAGGGGCTTACTGCAGACCCTTCCCAGCGCTCAATGGAGTCATCAGCCATGTCAGGCCTCTCTGCAGGTGTCTACAGATGAGATTATTAGATACCAAAGCTCATGTGGCATCTTCATTGCCATGTAATTATCGTCTAGTTTTGAAATCCCAATATTTTCAGTTCTAAGCACGCTAGAGGGATAATCTTCACGGCCAAACTTGAAACATTGCCCAGTAGTTCTGCTTCCCATTGTCCTCTTAGGACGCAGTTTCATGTAATCCTTTCTCTTGTCTTCTTCTGAGAAGAAAAACACATCTGCAGGAATTAAAATATTGTAAATAGTCGTGAAAATAAGGTTCGCAAATAAAATTATCTAATGCTATTTTTTCTTCATATGAAATTAATTTTGGTTTATTCAAAAACATGATTATTAGGGGGGGAAAAACATGATTACCTAGACCCAGTCAATAAAATTGGAGCAATTTTATTTTTATTTTTTAACATATTTTATTGATTTTTTTTACAGAGAGGAAGGGAGAGGGATAGAGAGTCAGAAGCATTGATGGGAGAGAAATATCAATCAGCTGCCTCCTGCACACCTCCTACTGGGGATGTGCCCACAACCAAGGTACATGCCCTTGACCGGAATCGAACCTGGGACCTTTCAGTCCGCAGGCCGACGCTCTACCCACTGAGCCAAACCAGTCAGGGAGGATCGGAGCAATTTTAATAAAACCCGGCTGCCTGGCCATCACCAGTGTGGGTGCTCTTCGTCTTGTTGCTTCTTTAAAAGCTCCACATGCTTGCACTGGTTGGCTGCCTGTCAGCTCCACTGACGTGTATCTGGCCGCCCCAACCAAGTGTTTGCCACACAGATTCTGAACTTTGAAATGTCACCACCTCTCCCCAGACGTCCCTCAGGCCCCCATTACAGGGTTGCTGATTCTTTTTTAAAATATATTTTTATTGAATTCAGAGAGGCAGGGAGAGGCAGAGGGAGAGATAAAAACATCAATGATGAGAGAGAGTCATTGATAGGCTGCCTCCTGCACCCTCTACACTGGGGATTGAGCCCACAACCCTGGCATGTGCTCTGACTGGGAATCCAACTGTGACCTCCTGGTTCATATAGGTTGATGCTCAACCACTGAGCCACGCCAGCTGGGCAGGGTTACAGATTCTTAAAGTACAAACGGGCACTGGGCCTGGGCAACAGTTTCCAACCGAAGCAGAGAGACGCATGTGGGGAAGTACAGGACAGTCGTAGGCCACACCTCCCATCCACAGGGCTACGAGCCCGGAGACACAGGGCGGGCGATTCTGACAGCAGCAAGTGTGGCGTTCCAGCCCTCAAACGCCCCCACGTGCCATGAAGCGCTTCCATTCACATCCCCAGGGAGTCAGGGGGTCTTTATGGGGCCCTGGCACCACCCAGAGGCCAGAAGCCTTGGGGGAGCATTTGCCCAGGTCCCACACGTCTCAGAACAGGGCACAGGGCCCGGAGCTCTCCCACCTGCTATGCTCTCTCACATCTGGGATTCAATATGAGTTCCAGCTGGGTTCATGGGAGGCCGTTCTGATGGAAAGGAATTTTTGTTGCTGGAGGAGGCCGAGAGGACTTAACGGAGGGAGAAGAGGGAAGGGCTCGCAGGCCGGGAGGCCCCAGAAGCCAAGGTGAAGGCAGCCTGGTGGACTGCAAGGCGCTGCTGCTGGAAGTGAAGTGAGGCAGGAAGTGCAGGGAAGATTCCTGTTGCGTTTGCTGGTTCCTGGAAGCCAGGCCCCTGGGTCATGTAACCAGAACACAGAAGCGCAGGCAGAAAAGTCGAAGCCATTGTGAGGGGCTGGAGCTAGCAGGTATGGGTGCCCTGGCCTGGCGGGGGGAGGGGGGATGTCTTAGGAACAGGCTGGTTAAGCCCAGATAATCATGGTCCAGGGGAGGTGGCAGTCAGGCCCCTGGGGCCTGGGGGCTTGGAGGGAAGACATTGGGCAAAGCTGCAATGAGAAGGGGCAGCAGGAGCTGAACCTGCAGAAATCAGCATGCACGGCTCTCCTCAAGGTCACAGGGGCACAGGCTGTGGGCCAGGGGCCACAGTGGCCGTGGTTCTGGCGGGTTGTCCCACCCAAACAGGGGGGACAGGTGGGAAGGCCAGCGGGACTCCCAGAGGCCTCCTGAGAGCAAGAGGCTTCACTCAGGCACCGGGGTCCGGAGGGGAGGAAGGGGAGCGGAGTGTGACTGCAGCTCTCAGTCCTGGAGGGTAGGAGTCCAGGGTCACATGCCAGGTGCTCAGTTTCTTGTCTGGTAGACGGACGGGCTGCTCAGGGGTCCTCACAGGGCAGGGGTGGGGGTGGGGGTGCTGTGTGACTCTTCTTACAAAGGCCTGAATCCCAGCACGAGGCCCCCCCTCCCCCATGATCTCAGCTAAACCCAACCCCCTCCCAAAGGCTGCAGCTCCAAGGACCATCACATGAGGGTTAGGGCTTCATCACGTGGATTTGGGTGGGAGGAGGGGAGCGCACAATTCGGTCCGTAGCAGAATGGGGATACTTTAATCTGTCCCAAGTTCCCGACACATCCATTTATAAAACTGACCAGGATCAGCACAGCAAACACTGCGATGGGTGGACTAGGCCCAGGGGTGACCTTGGCCTCCAGGGAGCCCCCAGAGCAGGCCACGCAGCACGCAGGGGCTGTGCAAAGGAACTGACACTTAGAACACGGCCCACACACACGGGCCAGGCCATGCGTTCGTAACATGAGTGGATGGTCCGCCGGCTAAAACAGGAATGTGAAGAGAGTCTCCTCACCTTGTACTCAAAATGCCCGGGTACCGTCCAGAACCACTCGGCCGAGTGCCAAGAGCACCTCAGCACAAGTCAGGAAGGATGACAGCAGACACAGGCGTGAATGGTCTGACAAGGTTGTCCAGCAGTTGCACCAGCGCTCCAAGCGACTGCACGCTCTCCTTAAGCAAACTTGAAAAATAAAGAGCGATCTCTGTGCCGCGCTCTGCAGCCCACCTCACTCGGCCACCGGGACCACCGTTTCGGACCAAACTTACAACGATCGCCTTTGGCTATAACTGTGCTGGGACTTGCACGTGGCTTTGCCACCAGAGGACCGAGCCCTCTCATTAGTCCGAGGCTTGAACCTGTCCAAACGCCGTAGCCGCGCTCCACAGATCTCAGCAAAGAAATGGAAGTTATAAAGGAAAACCCAACGGAGATTTTAGAAAGGAAAGACACACGAACCCAAGTAAACCCACCACAAGCCGGTGAGCTCAGCTGCACGGTGGGGCCTGCAGAGAGCAGCACCAGTAAGCTGCACGGTTAATAAGTTACTCAATTTGAACAAAGAAAACAGCTTTCTTTTCATTTGTTGATTGATTTGAGAGAGGGAGGGAGAGACCTATTTGTTGTTCCTCTTATTTATGCAATAATTCGTGGATTTTTGTATGTGTCCTGACCAGGTTCAAACCCAACAACCTTGGCATATCAGGACGACGCTCTCATCAACAGAGCTACCCGGCCAGGCGCCCCGGGAGCCGGCCCACGACTGCACCGTGGACGTGGGGTGTCAGTAGAGGTCACGCTTCTCCTGACGCGAGGGAGGCTCCCACGGGGGCGTCCCGGTAGGACAGTGGAGGTGGGACCCTGTGCCCTGGGAGCCCCGCCCGTGGTGGCTGTAAGCAGCACAGAAGGCTGGGTGGGGGGACCACCGCGCACCCCAGGGCACAGGCGTGGGGAGGCCGCCCGCGTGGGGACCGGCACACACAGACCAGGGTTGCAGGACGAGGACCCGCTGCAAGGGCGACCCCTGGCGGTTAAGCACGCTCGGCGCCTCTTACTGGTCTGTAACCTGGCGCTGGTGGCAATGGGAGGCGGCGACCCTCATCCCTCCAGGCGCCGTGTCTCTTTCTCAGCCCAAATCCAGGCCCCTGCGGTGCCCAGAAAGCGGCCCGTGGGCGCCCCTCCCCTCCCGGGCCCAGCAGTCCGTTTGGGATCCATCCTGAACTTTACCTCCTCATGGTCCCTGCTCACAGGAGAGGCCTCAGCCTGGAGGGGAGGCAGGTGGGACCAGAAAGATGGAGGGCGCGGTGGGCGACCCTGAGACCCCGGGGTCCCTGGGAGCCGACGACTCCGGAGCGGACACCTGTGCTGTCCCTGCTGCGGCCACGCGGTCACCACCGGCTCCCTGCCGGCCACGCGGTCACCACCGGCTCCCTGCCGGCCACCATCTCACCAGCTCCCTGCCGGCCCCTATCTCACCAGCTCCCTGCCGGCCACCATCTCACCAGCTTCCTGCAGGCCACCATCTCACCGGCCTCCCCGAGGCACCCACACGGCAGCCAGCGCCTGGCTCTGGGCGTCTCTTCAGTGAACGGGCGCTGACCTCCGTGGTCAGTTTCCATCTCAGGCAAAGGCCCGCCCGCCCCACGTTCCGTTGAAGGTCTGATGCCGCCCTGGCTGCCCCGACTCTCCTGAGGCCGAGAGGTCAGTTCAGCGCGTACTGGGCAAGGCCCGCGAGGCGGGTGGGAGGTCCTGGGGAATCTGAGCTGGGACAGGGCCCTGTCCTGGAGGTGGCGGGAGGCAGCGGGGCTGGGAGGTGCAGGGCTCGCCCTGGTCCAGACGGAGAACTAGCTGGGAGAGGGTGCGCATACTGGTCAGCGCCCTAGTCCTGGGAATGCGTGAATGCCCACAGCACTCTGGGCAGCCTCACTCTTCATCAGTTTGGCCCCCTTCCCGGGACCTCCGTGGGGACCCACTGGGGCTTCTGGCGAGAGCAGAGCCCAAGACCCTTCGTTGGGTGACACCAGTTAGTCGGCCGCCCTCCCTTCCTCTGTAGGCGGCAGCGCAGGGGGGCCCTGGGTCTCTCGCCCGCTGCCCCGCATCATCTGAGTGTCTGTGGGTGCCCCCAGCCACCTCCCCAGCCTGAGGCTCCCGGTGGGGATTCAGCCTTGGGCTCAGGAGGGCTGGGCTTCCTCAGAGCCGCCACTTGCTTCCGACCAGGGTAGGGCGCAGGGTAGGCCCGGCAGCTGAGAAACCTACCCTCTCCCCAGGCTTCACCTGGAGCAGTCGGGAAGGAGACAGGTCCCAGGGGACCACTCGTGGGAAAAAGGCTGGTAGACAGAGGGGTCACCAGAGGGGTCACCAGGAGCCTCTGCCCAGGAGTGAGGAAACCGGCGACATGAGACTCTCGGGTACAGCCCAGGACTGTCAGAAGGACTCCACAAGACAGAAAGGCCCTTTACAATCAAGTCCATTTTACAGATGGCAACATTGAGGCTCAAGGACTTGGAAGCAAGGCTCAGGCAAGGAGAAGCCGGTGGCTCCTCACCCCAGCCTGGAGCCACTGCAGGTCAAGGTCACTGGGAGACCGGTCTCGTGGGCAGAGGAAAGGGAGGCCACCTGTCACTCTCTCCCGCATCCCAGTCAGGGCTGCAGCAGCATCTCCCTGCGAGAATCTCCTCTCTCCAGAGCACCACCTACAGGGCTCATCCTGCCTCTGCTCTGGGCCACGC